TTGTATTCAAATAGCATTACATGCCGAATGTGTGTGTCTAGTCGTGTGCCATCACTATAATGGATTAGAGTATACTAAACCTTACACATTATATAAACTACACTAACGTGACGTTTAGGCGATTCGTTTAACTATTATATCTGATGTACGTTTTTTGGGGGTGATTAATGAAATTGTTCCAAAATGCAACATTAATTTATTGACGACCTAATATTTAGTAAGGTTTAAGTTGCTGAGTGAAAATAGTATTTCCATAGGCTGGTTATATCAAGCCTTACGATACGATTTCTCTTATTTTTCGATCAGAAAGATCAACAGTGTCGTTGATACTGCACGCATCTTGTCAAGGATAGCATTATAGTTTTGTTTATATGACATTGTACTTTCCCAGTTAACTTTTCACAGAATTCCGACATATTTTTTGAAAGCTGTATGTCTCCAATAATGGAACCACTATTTGTAAGAATCCTTCACTTTGATTGTGTTTGTAGAGATAGATAAAGATTGTTTCACTTGTTATATATTGTGTCCAATATTTTTCTTTTTTCTCAACTCAGTCAAATTCAGAGGGTTTGAATTTGTTTATAATACATGTCATATTAGAACCTCCTGTTGTTCTGTGGATCATATCCGAATCGATGGCTGAAAAAAAAACATAGAGTAAGTAAGAAGAAGAAGAAGGTTTTATGTCGCTTCCAAGATTTGTTATTCTGTGTTCGTCCTAATGTGTGCATTTCCTATGTACTTCTAAATCCTTACGTTATTAAGTTTGAAAGGATTCGTAACCTGAAAATATGACATTTTTCACAAAGATGGATGTCTGAGAAAGTAGTCAGGTATTAAAGAAGTCCTTTTGTGGAGTGGAACTTTTCCAGATGCTGCAAAGGCCCAAGAATCCATTATTGTTGCAACCAAGGATTCATGAAGGAGAACTGCAAGAATCTGGAACATGCAGAAAACCAATCGAATTCTTCCCCTAAGGAACGATCTCAGTGTGCAAGAAGTACGTGTGACTGAGGGTTGTCACAGTGACATGCGGTCTAGCAGGTCTGACGACCTGCTCACATTAATTGCTGCTCTGATGCCCAGGGGAAAGGATCTAATGCTCGCCGGTGTGTAGGGGTCCATTACACTTTAACCTCGACGTTTTGTACGTGTCAGCTTAATGTTGGTGAAGGGTCCACGGGAGAAAGGTCCATGTTTGAAAGACTAAATGGATTCCTCACTCAATATTTAAGAGTTTGTCTAAAGCGGACCTTGACAATAACTCTAAAGCATGGAAATAGAGTTTCTGACTGATGCAGGAGCTGTCAGAACACTAGCTGATCTAGCTTTGTAATAGGTACATTGAATGAAGCCAACACTTCAGCCAGCTAACACTGATTTAATTCTGATAAATAGTTATAAGCTAGATGTGAATGGAGAGACATGTCAACTATAGAATGTCCGTTGTGAGCTCTGCCCTTGGTTATGGTATTGGCATCCTGTGGCGGGACGTACTCTGGAAAGTTTCAGTTACTTTTGCTTGTTAAACAGATTACTGTGTTTCGTTGGGAAAGCTATCTGATACTGACCAGTTCATCCTTGGAGATTCATTTGTAAAAACCTGTTTTGTTTTTCTGCAACTCTCTTCCCTTGCTTCTATATTTTGTGACAGGAAAACTAATTTAAAATACAATAAACATCACTTATATTTCCATAATATACATTTAAATTTACTAAGTGAGTGCAAGCTCCGAAGAAGGGTTGACGTCTAAAAAACATGCGAACAGGACTCATTTATAAACATTGCTGGCCAGTAGTATAAAAACATCCGGCTTACTAAATACTTAATAAATGAACAAAAAAATATAATAAAAATGCATAAACTATTATCTATTTTCAAAATATATTCT